TATGGGATCATCGAGCCGAGTAACTAACGTTCAAATTTTTGAGGAAACGAAAACCAGTTTTCTAAATGTGCTGTGCTGTGCTTGACTCTCAAGTTCACTTGAGCAATTTCTTAAAAGGCAAAATGAACAAGAGGAAGAACAACACTGCTGCGATCTGTTATTAGATACATCACAAATTATACCCTATACAACAGCTAAATAGAAAGGCTATCACAGCGCAGAGTTGACCGTACGCAACATACAGGGAATTCCTCCAGTTATCTTAAATATATACTTAATATCGCTGATGCTAATACACTTATATGCTTAAATATTCAAGCAACAGAGAGTCCATTCAGTTTTGTGTCCATTTCTATGGGCCTTCACTTTAAAGTTATTGAAGAAACAGCTTTTTTTGAGAAATGCTATGGAAAATTCTATCGATCATTTTGATAGTGTTGTAAAGTGTTGTCAGGACTAATCTAAATGCATTGTCTCTAAAAAACATATTTGTGGCAATTTTCTATAAACTTTTATTTAAATTAAATTATGTATTACCAGACGAAAAACTTTGTTCAAATATCGAAAGTTCTATCGATAATATTGACAGTGTTGTTAAGTTGGTTAAGACTCATTTTTCATGCGTCATTTCTTTTATATGCATTTATATAGTATATGTATTTAATATGTTTATTTTGTTAGATCCAAAAATGATTCTTATCACCCATTTTCTGGAAAGTGCCCGCAATCATTTCATGCAGAGTATCTGCTACGCGGGAATCTTGAGGCGTTAGAGCCATAAAAAGCTGCAATATCATGTATCGGCTAAGCGAAACGGGATTTGCCTCTTGAAAACAAAAAACAAAACAAAAAATCAAAACAAAAAAAACATAATTATTGATCGGGAGTGGAACCACTCTCTTAGCTGGCGCTATGTCCAGAAATGGAGTTTACGGTCAGCTCAATGCCTCGACAAGGTTTCCATACATTGCTTTTGCAGTATGCACGATCCGAAAACAGGCATGAGAAATTGCCAAGTCGCTGTAGATACAAATGTATCTTATGCCTTTTGTATTGTACGGTTAAGCGGACGGTACGGCAATCCGTCTGTCCGGCTGTCCGACGATCCGGGGCGATACGGGGCATGTGTTTGCCTTTATTGAGGTCGATTGTTCATTTATCGTCAATGTCAGTCATCAGTTGGGCTGTGTTGGGCGCGTGTTTTGTTGTTTTTACGCATTCCCTTGCGTGTATTTTGTTTACAAACGCGATGCGTTCATTACAAGAGTAGAGCCAAGTGCAGGCAACCGGGAGCTGGGCCAGATCTGGGCGACGATGGCTACTCCAAAGAAAACCTAATTTAGGTGTTTCACAATACAAACAGCTGGAGTTTACATCTATCTTTCTTCTTTTTTTTTTTTTTCTTTCTCCATTCTTTTTGGCCATTTACAGTGTGCTATAAACACACAATTAGTGTTGGAAACATGTTTACACACACATGCACACCCATCAAATGGGCAGCTGCGGCAAAGCCAATCGATAAAGCTTGTCTAGACTCCATAGATTCTTAGTCCTATCTTTTGGTTTTTTTTTTTTTTTGGCAGGACTTTGTCCTGTTGCTGCCAGCGTCTGGACTAAGATTTGTATCTAAATGTCATATATACATATATATATATTTGTGTGTGTTTGTATCTGTGTGTGTGTATCTTAACTGCAAGCTGGCGCATAAATCTTTTAATGCCTCTTTGTGTGTGTGACAAGCCATTGACTTTATGGCGCCGTCTCATGCGCCAAAACCTCAAATCTATAAATCATTTCGAGCGTTCAAAAATAAATCAGCTATTTTCAAGCTAATTCAAAGAGTTAAGTTCAGAACTGATAAGTGGAAAATTAAAGTTGTGTACCATCAATTATTGCCAAATGAAATGCCATTATCGATGCCCAATTACAAAGTTTACAGCTTTTTGTAAAGTCTTGCAGTTCATGGCGATTATTCGAACAAAAGCGGAAATTTATTGCTTTAACACAAATAAATGATATATTATATACAAAAATATCTGTTTATAGGACCAAGACGAACACATGAAGGCAAGTTGAGAAACATTAAAGAACTTTTGACAGTGTAACTGCAATTGTGTCCAATCGAAACAATGTGCCAAGATATTTATATTATGTTGCAATATAAAACAAATATATATTTTTTAAGTTCGCAGTTGTGCCAAAAATATAATATTTTGAAATCTCAAAGTCAAATAAAAATTATAAGCAAAATGTGCAAACAGCAAACAATTTGGAAAACATTTCCAATTGCATTTCTAATCCACAAACACTTCTTGGCCATGTTTATTTTTATGTTTGGCTTGGTTCGTAGTTTCTTCTTTTTTTTTTTCAGGGGGTTGTTAGTTAATAGATGTCAAGCAGGGGTGGATTGCATGTGGCAAGGGTGGTGAATGTTGACCCCCCCCGCGTAACGTTTGTACAATTCCTTTGACTAAAGCGAAAAATTAAACGAAGGGTGGCACTTTTATGTGATTTCACAAGGTTTTCCTTCGACTTCTATTCCAGCTGTGCTATACATGCATATATATATATATATATATATATGTATATATATACATATATATTCACGCTTGATGTCTCGTAGATGGGCAAGTCGTTTTACAAAATGTGGGGAACACCTGTCCCGCTATTTCAATGGGTTCTTGTATACATAATGCGTAGAGAGCGTTTACATATAGCATTTATGTATATGTCTGAGGAATCCGTAAAAAAAACTACTCAGACATCCCTGTCAAATTCGAAACCTTTAGAAACAAAATTAATGCCAGTTTTCTTGAACATTATATGAACAGATATTCGTGTTCGGAGCTGCAGACTTGCCTTTCCATCTAAACCTTTCACTACGAACTTGATATAAAGTTATTTTTGACATCCTATAGAGTATGTTGAGGGTATCTTGAACATCATATAAACAAATCTTGTTTGGGGCCAGACCCCCTAATATACTCTGCCTTTCCATACAAACCTTTCAAAACGAACATAATGTAATATTGCATTGAACATCATATGGACATATAATCTTGTTTAGGACTAGACATCATGATAAAGTCTACCTATCCATCTAAACGAACATGATTTGAGGGTATTTTGGACATCATAAAAACATATCTCTTTTAGTGCCACAACTCCTAATATACTCTGCCTTTTCAGCTAAACTATTCAAAACGAACTTTATGTAAAGTTATCTTGTACATTATATGTAAACAAACAATCTGGCTTAGAGCTAGACGTCTTAATATACTCCACCTTTTCATCTAATACTTAAATAACATGATTTGAAGGTATCTTGAACAGCATATATATATGCTATATATATATATATATCGTATAATCGTGTTTTCTAATATTGTTTTCTAATATTTTTTTTCTTTATCACTTTCCCTGTTTCTTTCCCCGTTTCGCTCTCTTAATCGCATTCACTTCCTCCTACTCGAGCTCGCTCCTTTTCGAATAACCGCCTTTCTATGCGATTTTCATTGTTTTCATGTCAGTGTTGAGTAAAGTATGTATAAGCGTATATGAATATAACATTTAAATGTTTTGTTTAAGTGATTAAAGAAAGAGCTGGGCTCTTTCCAACTCTCGTTTATTCCAACTAATACGCCCAACTTTAGCAAGGGCAACCTTGTCGGGATCATCTGTACTTAAGCAATGAATTCTAGACTGTTTTCGTAGAGTAACTACATGGAAAGCGATTAACATAGTGGCAAATGTGGCGCCTTGTCTGAACGACTGTGCGGGGTTTTGTGGCTTTCAATTTGCAATCGAATGGCGATTTCATGAAGCATACACTAAATGCGCAGCTACTCGTATCAAGGTGCACTAGATACTTACTGAAAAGCAGCAAGAAAAAAAATTGTACAACAAAGTCGGTCAGATTTGCATGCAAATTGGATGCAAGGCAGTTGAGAAATGCATCAAGTCGGTTAACAGCTGCTTGCAACCCCTCAAAACCCGATCGACCAGCTCGCCCAACCCCTCAAATGCACCCGCAACAGGGCAATCTGTGTGTTGAACTATTGTCACTGCTATGGCGTTAAATATGGGTGAAAAATATTGATTTCATTGGTAAACGAGGCTCATGAATACCTATTTATGCTATATACATATATATATACGTATCTATATACATATTACATACACACATAGATCGAAATTCTGCATTCGTTTAACCATATGCGCATTTCATTACCGCACAAAAGGTACGGGCAAAAGATTAGCTATCAAGTGACCCAAATACACACTCACACACACACACACATTGCACACAATTCATAACCATAGAAAACTCGATATACACATATATAAATTACCTATAAACATATACAATATATGTGCACATATTGAGTACATCTATGGCAGAGCCGGAAGAAATAATAATAATTATTTAGCAATTGCCTCGTTTTGCATTTTTCATCATTTGTGGCCCACAATTTCTTGGCCATGCCCTAATGAACAATAATAAAAGATTTGAGAAAATTTTTTGCAAAAATGTGCCAAATATAGACCGGGGGGAGGTAGGGAATACACACACACGCACACAGATGTGCCAGCCAATTCATTTGAGGCCAAATGCTTGGGCAAAACAAGAATTTTCCGCAATTTTTGGGCTATTTGGTAATTTTTACCTGCTTATAAGGCATATGGCAAAATCAAACACAGATGTCTCTCGGTTTCTGAAGATGATTTTGTCCTCGAAAAGAATTCAAATTCCCGAAAACAAATGTATACCCTGTACCCTGGGCAAATGAAGCTAAAACAAGAGAGTAAGATTTTGTGTCCCCCAAAAATACTTTTAGACGAAAGCAATATTATCGACCGATTGTTCCTATGTCATTAACACTATCTGGGAACAGTTCTGGATCAGTTAAGGGTCAGTTTGTTTTTTTTTTTTTAAATATGTGCACAGGGCAGCAAAAGATATTTGCAAAACGAGAAAAATGTTACAGACAAAAACTCACCTGTCAACCGATTCTTCCGATAGAGCTTAGCATATAGCTAGTGGTGCGATGTTGATAAGATTTTGTAAAGACGTCATAAAGCTATGCAACTTTTTCGTTCAATTATTCCTAGGGCAGCTATATGATATAGTGGTCCGTTCCGGCCGTTTACAATATACACAAATACTGCCTGCAACAGAAAGACGAACCCATATCAAGTTTTATGATGATAGCTCTTAATGCTAAACAGGAATAAATATAATTTATGGGCTCGGAAGTGTCAAAAAGCGTTTGATTTGATGATTTGAGGATTCGCTCTAAAAGGACTTTAAAACTAACCTAAGCTGATATAGCCCTATTGATTTCTTGTATAAACACACATACGAATGCCATCTTAAAGGGCTTTGAATTTGTTAACAATCGGACAATAAACACCGATTTTTATAATGTGGAGTAGATGGATAACTTTAATATGCAGCATATTCTAGGCTACAGGGTAACTCCTCGTCGAACAGCCTAGACTAAACGAAATTTGTATGTACTAAAGAATTGCCTACAAAAACTAAAAATTCTTGCTATACTTGTCTATAATTGCAGATTGCCAAACAATTTGAAGGCCCTTTATTAAAGGCTTAACGGCTGAAGAATAAGAATTGCAAGTACGAATGCAAATATAAAAGTATAAATCGATGATATGTTAAATAATATGTTGTTATTTGTTGTAGATTTCTTCGTGCGGTTAATTGGCAACGATCTCAATGGTGGGCGGCTATGCAAAACTGATTTCCAGCTTTCTTCCACTCCAAATCCCTACATACTCCTCCCCCCTGTCCATTCTAGCCGAGCGTTATAGAAAAACATGTCTGAGACAATTGCCAGCGAGCGCAACTCCCAGGCAATTGGCACTCTAAACGATAATCTAGAGATTATCCAAGATATTGTCGATGGCAAAGTATTTAACGATTATATCGCAGATGATGAGACGTTGAAAATAATTGAACCGTTTGATAAGCCGGAGAATACGATTGACAATTGCAACAACATATTGGAGAAGAGTCCGCTGGACAGGGAGAGCAGCAAGGTGAAAAAGTGCGTTACATTCAATCCGAACGATGAGAAAATCCGTAAGTTTACCACGGGCGAGCCGATCGTTGATCAACAGAATCCCTTCAAGAATGGTCACATAGCTGCTGGCCGGGATAAGAAGACGCCGCCGCCGGTGCCCACAAAGCGTTCCACGTTGAGTGTACGGAAAACGGTTACGCAACAGTTGCGTGAACGCGAACGCGAAAAGGAAAAGGAACGAGAAAAACTGAAGGAGCGTGAGCTCGAAGAGAAAAACCTTAGGGACAAGGAGCGCGAACAGCAAAAGAACGAAACGAACGCACGCAAAAAGAATGCCAGTAAAGTGAATCTGGGTGCTGATGAATTCATAACCACCGAGGAGGTACTTAATCAATCCAAATATGTTAAGACGTACATTAAAAATCCGGATGCTTACTTTGTATACGATCCCACGGTGCTCGCACGTCTGAAATTCGAGGAGCTGCGCGACATTGCCGGTAAAATACCCAAGCGAAAGCAAAATCTGGGCGCGCAGTCGTCGTTGGGTAATCGACGAGATCCCAAGACGCATTCAAAGCTGTCGAAGAATCAAGAGGCTAACAACAACAATAATAATATTAATAAACCGAAGATACCCACATTCAAGAAGTGCTCGAAACCAAATTATCCGGAATTGGCCAATCTGAAGATCAGAACTGGCACCGACTCCAACGGCGATTTCTTTAATCCCGCCGAGGTGACCAAAAATGCCAAAAAGTTTGATGAGCGCGTCAAAAAGCTGCAAATCAGCTCCGACGACGATCTGGACGACATAGACGGACCCCTGACCAAAAGCGAGTCCAGCGACGAGCTCAACCAGCCGTCAAGTCCCGGCGTGCCTCAAGGGCCAAACGAGACCACAAGCATGACAAGCAACGGGAATAGTCCCGGCACCTTCACCAACACCATCAGTTCCGAAGAGTTCCAGGCGTACTTGGAACGCAAGGGTCTGGCGCTGATGCCCAAGCGGCACATTAATAGCTCAACGCCCAAATCGTCGCCGACGCCGACGCCAACGACGACGACAACGCCGACACGGTCAAGCACATTCCAAACGGCCGAGGAGCGCCGCCAACAGGTGGCCGAATCCTTGGCGGCTCTGCGCAAAAGCAACACCAAGAAGCTATCGGTGCTGCAGCGCCTCTCCAACAGTTTATTTGCGACGCGTCGCAAGACCACGCCCAAGGGCGCAATACCCATGCCGCGCACGGTTTACGGTGACGTCGATGACCATAAGAAATACAGTAGTACGCCGGCCGAGATGCGGCGTATACTGCTCGAAAGCCAAACGAATGGACGCCAGCCGAATGGCCAATTGAAGCAGGAAACTGGCATACAGCCACGTCCCGCCGCCAGATCCGGTGATTTGCTCAAACAAGCTGCGCCCAGGCCAAGTGAACGGAATACGGCGCCAATGATCAATGGCACATGGAAGCCGCAGGCGGATGGCAAGCTGGAGAATGCGCCATTCCAGCGTGGAGCGGAACGCCAGAGCCTGATACCCAGACGCGTCTCGCCCGAAGGCAATCTTAATCGTTTCAACCGATCGGCATCCATGGACCGCAATCAGATCAGATTGAATGGCCAACGCACACTGAGTCGGCTGGAGAGCGTGGGCCAACGGCGTTCCGTGGCATCCTGCATGTCCAGCGATGAGCGCAGCAGCTATCCCATTGCCACATCGACGCCAGTGAGAAAAACGCTGGAGCAGCAAAAGGGCGATGCGGCTAGCAATGAATGGGAGCAATTGCGCGCCATCAAGGAGGTGACCGATCGCCAGCTATACCACAAGGTGCTCCAGCAACAGCAGCAACAGCAGCAGCAGCAGCAGCATCAGCAGCAGCAGCAGCAGCAGCAGCAGCGGCAACAGCGGCAGAGTGAGGAGAACATTTATGAACATCTGCAGTCCAATCAGCTGATGAACGCTGCTCCGGCGCCGTACTTTGTGCGCGGCTCGCTGCAGCGGAACACCTTCTCCGGCATCAGCGGTCGCAATCGCCAGGTGATGATATTGGACGGCACGCCCATTGGACCAGCGTCAGGGCCAGTGCCAATGCCAATGCCAGTTAATGTGAGCAATCAACAGTTGCTGCAACAACAGCAGCAGCAACAGCAGCAGCAGCAGCAGCAACAACAACAGCAGCCGCCGCCGCGCTGCCAGAGCGTACTGGATGAGATGATCATGCCCAGCAATCAGGCGGCGACACGTCGCGGCTACGAGAGCGAGAATGAGACGCCAGTAGTACTGAGGCGCAAAGAGTCGAGCGCGGCGCGTCGCATTGGCGGCCTGTTGACGCGCGAAGAGATCCTGGAGAAGGTGAAAGAGTTTTGCCGCAAATCCATTAATCGCACGCCGCTGCCCGCCGCCAAAATGCAGCCCATTTACGAGCGGCACAACAACAGCAACAAGAACGGCGCCGACATTTCGCCCGTTTCGTACGCCTCCGTGGAGACGCACAAGCGACCCGCCTCACAGCTGAGCGCCAGGCCACAAGTGCCGCTGCGCGTGCAGAGCTTGCCGCGCTCTAGCTATGGTCCAGGCTCGGGCGGCGCCAATTGTGCCTCGCCTATCTATGCGCACGTGAACAAGCGCAACAGCCTGCTGTCCAATGACTCCGAGCAGTATGTGTCCAATCAACAGTTGCCGACTCAGCGCTCAATGCAAAATCCGCAGTCGCTGCTGACGCTTACACCAACGGAGTATGTGCTCATCCAGACGGAGGATGGCCTGCAGGCCGCCAAGTTAATTGACTATCACAATAGCAGCCTGTACATGCAGCCGCAATACATTCGCGCCAGTCCCCAGGGCTATGTGCGCATCGAGGAGCTGGCACTCGCGCAGCAGCAGCAGCAGCAGCAGGCACAGGCGCAGGCACAGGCGCAGGCTCAACAGCAGCAGGTGCAGCAGCTGCAGAATGGCCGTGCGACACCTCTCATACTTGATCGTTCCGGACAGCAGACCAGTCAGATCTATTGGACGCCGCAGCGTACCAACTTCAATCAGATGACTTTGCAGAAAAGTCCGCGCCGCGGCTCCGAACGCATGTATCCAATCCCAGCGCCCAGATTGCACATGCCCCAAAACTATGTGCTGGCGAATGGCCAGCCATATGCAACTGTTGTGCCGGCGCCCAGGAATCAGGTGCAGCACTGCAACAGGCAGCAATTGGCGCGAAACACATCTGATTGGGATTGCAGCTCCGAGGCGGACGAAATAAGGCGCATCATGGAGAAATCGTTGTAGGGTAAGTCTAATTTAAAGACTTCACAAACATTTGATGAATACACTTTTGGTCCGTCCACATTAAAATGAGCTTCAAAATTGTAATTTGTTCAATCTTCAATTTCACACATGTGGGCATTTTGAGTATTTTGCAATGTCTGTCATTTTTAGCCCAAAACTGAATTTGCTCACAGAAACCACAAAAAAAAAAAAAAAAAATACCAAAAAACCGTGACTTTATCGACTAAAGTTATCGATATCGCAGAACGAACCACATATGCAAGCGTGCGCTTGTTTGTATCTATGTTCGTGTAGTGCCAACACAAAGGTTGAGGCGTTTAGTGGAATTGCGACGTTCGCTTATTTCTGCGTCAAGTGCAGACAGTTATTATCTGTACACAACAATTGTCCAAAGATTCAAGGTCTATTGCTTATCAGGCGGGAGGCTGATAAATCTAAATGGTGAAACAATAACACATATGTACATATACTAGTGCACGCACACACATATCTATTGTGTATACACATGCATATATGCATTGTTTTTAAACTGAATTGGTAAGTGCGAGTTCAAAACAAACAAATTTGTGTATGTATGTGTGCGTATGTTAATTTCCACAACAATTGTACGAATTTGCGTAATAACACATATGTACATATGCATACCGTGCTCTTATGATATGTTGCTAATTCTAACAAAACAAACCGAAACGAACAAACCGAAATTCAAGACATTTTTCACACAAACGTACCATACATATTCCCAGGTAATGCTAGCTACCTATGTAGTCCCGAGGCCCGGACAACACAGCACTAAATACTTTTATGTAGATACATACATTCGCCTGCATATACCCACGCATGCATGCATGCATGTGTATTGCATGCATGTGTATTGCATGTACGAGCACAAGTGTTGCCCACTTAAAGAGTGCAAAAAAAAACAAAAAAAAAAAAGGCTAGCTTCAGCGAGTAAATGTTTAGTTCGAATGTGCATGTTTTTATGTTTTAAATGTAGTTAAAGTTATAAGCACAAAGATAAACTCACCTTTAACAAAAACAGCTGATAAAATGTCAAAAAATGAGCCATTAGAGTTGATAAATATGCAATTATTTAAAGATTTTTGATCAGAAATAATAAATTCGCGCTAACTTTAAGGATTTCCGCGCCAGATTTGGCAAGAATTTGGCGCAATTGCCAACACTGGCCAGCACAGGCGTTGCTATTGACGCATCGGCTACGCTATAATTGTAGAGCGCCACGAAGGTCGATACGAAAATAAATAATTCTTGTATGCATTTGCAGAGAAAGAGGCCAACAGCCCAGACAAAGCAGCATGGACGAGAAGAGCGGTAACAACAGCAGCAAAACCAAAGCCAACGAGCAGTCGCTCCCCATTAGCACATCATCATCGTGGACGATACTGCCAGCAGAGAGAATCGAGATACTCGACAACAACAGCAGCGGCAGCGGCAGCAGCAGTGAGGAGTCGTCATCATCAGCAGCCCCTTTAACTAGAGAGCACCGTTTGGAAGAGGAGAAACAGATGGTGGGGGAGGACGAGCAGGCAAATGCAAGGTGAGACTCCCAGAGAGAGAGAGAGAGAGAGAGAGAGAGATGAATCAATAGGCTATCCTAAAATCCTTTGAATCCACAGAGGCAAGCTCGTCGAGGAGCCAGATACCCAGGCGGAGGACGTCTCGGACGGCATTTCGATAATTAGCGACTGCGAAAGCACCGGACGCATTTCCCCACATCCATTTTTGCGTGAACATCTGAACGAACTTAATTTCAAATACGATTCCGGACACGAACTGCCACTATTGGGCAATCTACCGGAGGACATCGCCGTACAGCAGATCCATGAGCGGCGACGCGTCCAGTTAGAATTGGATGATGCCCTACGTACTCAAACGGCGTCACCTGTTGTGCGTCCGCAAAGCGAGTTGAGCCAGCCAACCCAAAGGTTGGGCTACCGCCTGCCAACGCTGGTGGAGAGCGGCCTGACCGCTGTATTCTATGTGGGCGCCACACTGGCTATACTGGCGTTTATTAGCCGCCTGCGTAATCCCGAGTGGCAGGCGCTCGGCGGTGACAAGCCCATTGCAGAGCTGGAGCAGCGTCTGGTTGAGCTGGAGCTGCAGAATAATTTGATGCGGGCCGAGATTGACATCATGTCCAAGCAGTTGCAGTACCTTAGCTCCTTGGCTGGCAGCGGTCAGGGTCAAGCGCAGGCGCAATCGCAATCGCAGGGCCGACGGGCAAAAACGTTCAAGGCCTGGCCTGGCAATGGCAACTCCGTGGATCCGGTTGATATAACCAAAGCGGATCTGAAGCGCCCGTACAAGTGTCCAGATGGCCAATATGTGGAAATCGCTGCCATGTGCATGGAAAACAAGCCGCATGCCGAATCTCTAGCTGACGAGATTGGTAATGTGGTCAACGATGTGCTGCAGCAATCGCAAGCTTTTCACAACTTTGAAAAGGTCACCGAGCGGCTAGGCACACTCGCTGGGCAGAAGGATGCACCCAGTGACAGTCCAAAAACCTATCATGCACATGGCGAAAAGATGCGACCACCACCGTTAGATAACAACAGTCGCGGACCCGTGCCCGTGCACGTGCCCCAACCAACATATGATACCTCCAAGGAGCGTTACACAACGAAACATAATCACAAGCGTCGGGAACACTCGAGGGAGCGTAACCGATATAAGAGCAGCGAGCACGATTCGAAGGAGCGACACAACAGAAAGCACGCTGACAAGTCCAAGGAGGAGCGCGGCAAGAAGCGCCATGGGGGGCATGACAATGATAGTGGCAGCGGCAGCGGCAGCGGCGAGTGGCACGAACGCATGATGCAACATCGAGAGCAATCGCGCCAGAGGCACGAACAGAAGCGCAACAATAACTGGTATATTGAGCGGGGCGGCAGTCGGGAGCAGATACGTTCCGGCGAGACCAGACGACGCTAAAAACGTGAGCAGGGTTTTCGAGCGTCGAATGAATGGGTGGGTATGGGCGGGGCGGGCAATTTTGGGGTTTGACTGGCTGTTGTTTGTTTTTATTGTTTTTTTTTTTTCATTATTTTTTCGGTTTGGGCTCCAGCACACATATATGAAACCCAAAACAATATTCTAAGTACTTGGATTCTTGTGTATTTGTTGGTACTATTACGAAGTTATTTACAGTTATATATATATATATATATATATGTATATGTATATGTCTATTGTATGTTAATGTATTTGCTTGAATCGCATCTCGACCTACAAACATCAAATGTACATGCTTAAATATATTCATGTATGTATTTTATCCTACGACAGAACACGAAACGCTATTTTGTGTAAGTACCTTAACTATAAATCGAAACAAAAAAAAAAAAAAAACAAAAATAAAATAAAAAATAAATATTAAAGTATATACATGTTCGAAAAAAGTGAACGTTTCTGTCCTACCAAAGCTGAAATCCTTTCAATATTCTAGGGTAACCCAATTTTGTTCCACTTTGAATTATATGGGGCTTTTCAATTGGTATGGCGTTCCTTGATTAGTTTTCGCTAAAATAAAATATACATATTTGTGATATATACACCTACACTACTGTTTTTTTTTTTTTTTTCTTGTAGACTATAACATTAAATTATTGTACCATATTAGATATTCCTTGGAAGCCAATTCATATAAATATTTTTGTATGCATGTAATTCCTTATTGTATATCTGTATCTACATATATGTATGTACCTTTACGATGGATGATAAATAAATAAACCTGTCTAAGCCTAAATAGTCAAATGCATTTCTTTGTATTTCTTATGGACTTCTTATATAAAATGTACATGCACATGAATACAGCATATACATATGTATGTATGTGTGTACATGTAACTTGGGGGCAGGAACATGCCTTTTGTCCTTTGCATGACGTTTTCTTCTTCTTCTTCCTTTTTTCGGTGTCAGTTTCTATTTTTGTTATGTATGCACTTTCCTTTCTGTGCGAAAGTTATCATCGTCGTCGACTGGGTGAAAACCTTCGTTGTGTTGGGGTTGTCCTACGATTTTTTACTACGGCCGTAAGCTTTCGATATGCACATACATACATGCATACATATGTACGTATGTCACAAAGTTATGCGTGCAAGCATCGCTGTGCAGATGTTGTGTGTGTGTGTGTGTGTGTGTGTGTGTGTTGTGCGTGTGCGTGTGCGTGTGTACAATAAAAGCACCCAATATTTTGATGATAAAACAAATTTAGCTATCGTAGCTGTCAGGAAAAAGCACAAAATGAGAAACCCCAGCACCAGAGAGCAAGAGAGCAAGATACCAAGAGAGCACCACGGCAAGCAATGAAAAAAAAACAAAATACAACAGCTTAGAGCACTATAAACGCTCGTGTGCCAGTTCGTGAATACACGAACTTCGTGTGCACATCGTTACGAATGCACTTATCAGTGTGTGTGTGCGGGTGTATAAGCGCGTATTTGTTTGTTGCTGGCCGACTGACTGAGTTTCGCGTTCGCGCGTCAATTCAGTTTCATTTCAGTTACTACAACGATTTCAAGACCTACGGACGTTCCACACGGCGTTGGTAGCGCGCGCTGCAATTAAGTAACGGGACAGAGCGTTTAAAAAAATACAACAACAATATAAACAAACAAAATCAACAAACACACAGAACAATAGAAAAAGCAATTGTAATAACTAAGCCGTATTACACAACTCGCCAACTCTCGCCCATCGTAATAACAACGACGACAACTACATCAATCAACAAAATAAATACGTTTGGTACATGCTAAATAAATACATTATTGTGTTGAGATACCAAAAATATGCATTCTAAGGCTATGTAAATATTACTTATACTCATATTTTTTTTTTCTAATTTTTTTTCCAAGTAACTTTAATTTATATTACAAATGCGAATACTATGTGTGTACATTCAAATGTTCGTACATATGTACATATGTATGTATGTATGTACCATGTACATTGTGTGCTATCTAGAAAATGACAATAACAAAACGCATTGAGATAAATAGGAGTACACAAATTTCGAGCCCGAATGTCCCTGTCGGAGTGGCATTCAGTTTCCGATTTGACTCCATTTCGTTTTCGTTGCCGCTCAGTAGGCCAGTGGAGCTTGAGTTCGTGCTTCGCCCAGCTGTTAGACTGCCGCCTCCCTCTCACTCTCAGTCGCATCATGTCCCAAAAAGCACCTCCCCCGCGAGAATGACTTTGGACACGTTCCATCAGTCAAGTGTTGTGTTTGTGTGTGTTTTTTTCGTCTGTTTTTTTTTTTTTATATTTTACCTATTTGTTTCCCGTGAACAGCAGCTTTTTGGACGTCGACACATATTCAGACATACACACGTACATATTACAAATCAATTGAATAAAACAAGTGCGTCCTCTCCTCCGCCCCTCCGCTCACCAATGGCCTGCTCTCATTTCTCGCAGCAATTTGTCGTCATAGTCTGCACTCAGCTGTTAGCTGCGACTAGCTGTTCGTAAATAGATAGATACATACATACATACATACACACACACACACATATACATATACATTTACGTACATGCATATGTTTTGCACCAGAAAACGAACTTCTACAAACTCATATTATGTACCCAATTCGATTCCGATAAACTAAATATTCGTGTTAGTGAGTTGGCAGTGTTGAAAAGTTCGTACAATATGTATGTAAATATATATCGGAAAGCATATATGTACATACATATGTATGTGTGTACGTACAAACGTTATTTGGCATATATTCGTGGGCGAGCGAGTGTCGCGGAACATGCACAGACAAACATATCTACAAATGTTAAATGTCGTACATACATTTGCTCATATTTACGTATTTACGTATTTGTCGTTTCAATTTTCATGTGTGCACAGATAAAAAATCATGTGCTTTAGTTTTGCTGTCATTTATAGTACATATGTACGTACATTTGTACCTTCATGCCATACCTGCATACAGACATACATATGTATACTTGTTTATTTGTGGTGCACACATATATATATATACATACATATGTATGCATGTGTGTTAGCATATAATAGACCAAATTAGCAAAAACGAATAGTTTTCATTGTGATTACGTTGAATAACATCAGCTGTTTTTCACTACGCTTTTGCAAATAACGTGCGTGCGTTCTGTTTGTTTTTTTTTTTTTTTGTCTTTCAATGATAACAAAATAGTATGAGCAAAACAATTTGAATTGTGGCAAATTGATTGAAATATACCGCGGCACAGTGGAAATGATATGAAAAAGTGTGCCCAAAAGAGAGCCCATTAAAAAGCATACAAAACGCGCGCACACATACACGCACACAGCTGTAGACACATGCAAACGTTGTCAGCTGTTTTGTGTTGTTATGCCAAATTGCTTCAGCAAAATTTTTGCCTGCCTGCTGTTGATGATGACGACGGCGATGCCGTTGCTCCTGCGTGAGAGTGAGAGGAGGGCGCTTTACAGCAAAACGTAAATAACCAACAGCCGTTTGTGGGCGCAGAGGGGCGCGAGTGTGGCGGCCGTCTTAGTTTGTGTCTCTCTTTGCGTGTGCGTGTGTGCGTGCGTACTTGTGTTTCTCTGGGACAAATGAGAGGCAATGACAAGTCAGTGAAAAATGTTACCCGACAAATCGAGTCGAAATTCATTTAGTGTATTCACGATCTTGTAATATTAAGTACTTGTGTACACTCTCAGGTGTTAAAACATACGTGTGTGTGTGTTTGTGTGTGTGTGAATTTGTGTGTTTAGTGTCGCTCAGCCTTTAAAGATGTGCTAAACAGCAAATAACCTAAAAGGAATTATGCAATGCATAGAAAAAGGCTTGCGCTCCACTGTTCTTTTCTTTTTTTGTAAGTGAAAATATGCACACACACACACACACACACACACACACACACACATAATGCTAGCATCAAAAGCAATATAAATATGTAATGCAAGAGTGCGATGTTTCAGATCAACAACAAAGCAAAAAAAATGAAAAGCAATATATTTGTGCAATAAACAAAACCCAGACACATAATTAAATGCATTTGTTTAAGCATGCATCAGTTCCTTAACATTTATTTGTATTTATGTAATCGTCAACTTTTGCTCTTTGTTGAGCGTTCGCTGTGCCTTCTCCACGAGCAGCTCCCAGTCAGAAAATAGGAATTTGTTTTTAGGCCTCAAGGTGCACTCAGAGAGCGTGATGTAACAATAACTGTTTCTAACAGTTGCACGTGAACTGGACTACTTACATACATACATACATAGATGCCCCTAGTGTTGGCAACATACAAAATAGACGAGAACAAAACAAAGAAAAGAAAGTGGCACAAAACAAAATGAAACGTCCTCCCATTTTACATACATATATAGTTACATATCTACACATATGTATGTATGTACATACTAGTTCGTATAGATTCATACATACATATATGCATACATATGTATATGGTTGTATGTACGCTCTAATTACCGACAAACAAGCAATTTGAAGGCCACTCAGATCCGTACACACACACACACACACATGTACAGGCATACATATGTAGATATGGGACTGGCAATGGCCCCAACATACCAACCTGCCCATTATCACTGCGTATTCATAATCGACAGCTTAAGAGTTAATTAACTTAAAGCCACCTAATTGGTGAAACCAGAAAGCGACAATAACAACAACTACTCTTACACTCTTAATTGGCTGCACGGCACGACAATGTCATAATATCACGCAATTCTAAAGCTAACACATTTGTAAACACTTTGTTGTGCCATACGCCATAATATGTCATATTCCACATATCGGTAATAATGCAAAACTTTTATAGACCGCAGAAAGGAGGCAAAACAACAAAAAAAAAACAAGAGTGCCCGACTAAGCGGTACCCTGTGCATGCCGTAAGCTGTGAATATTACTTAGCGACAGGTCTTTCTCTTTGCTCAGCTTATATATATTCTCTTAAGCTTCTTTTGATGCAAATCATGAATATACATATATATGCATTTACATATCTACTGGGGCGTGTAGATGCGTCCTTCTGCCTGTTAAAGTCCCGATCAATATACCCTATCTAACACATTTTCAATGCCTACAGGGTATCACAATACGCATGTGCATTCATATGAAAGAAAATAACAAAGAGTAGAGTAGAGTAATTTTACGGTAAATGTCGGAATAACAGCATTAAGGCTTCATTTAAATTCAAGCTCTTTGAGCCGAGTCTTAAAACATTAAATACGATTTAATATGGATAATTTTAGATACACGCAAATAGCTACATTAATATTTAATTTGTTTCTAAAAACCTTGCATTTGAGCTAATATTGATTGCCTTTGTTGAACGAAAGATATTCGAGTATGAGGGTATTCATAATTGAAAAAAAAAAAGACGAACCGTTAGTGAAAAGCGATAAATATTAAATGAATTGAATAGATAAGATGTGAACGTGTTAGCTTAAAATTATTTGAGTATATTTTGCTTAGATAATAGAAAAAACGTGCCTTAGATTTCTGTCATGGGGAACTAAGCGCTCATTATATGAGCTATAGGGGGCGCTGCTTATAAATGCACACACACACACACACACACACACACACATTATGCGCTACAGTGCAGTCTCTATGAATGGACAAGTTCTGCTATGCTATGCTATCTGTAGTATTTGTTGATTCCAATTTTTATTTTTCCAATATTTCGTGTAAAATTAAAAATGGTTGTCTCTCTAGACAACGGATTATATTCCATATTTTTGGGATCGTAAGAGATTATTTCCAGTTTCACGAATTTCCATATCATTTTCGTTCTTGCAGCGTTATGAAGCAAGTTTGAATAAAAAATGGTAACAAGCTAAATTTATTGGGTATCCTGAGTAGCCGCTCATGCGAGCTTTCACTGTATTATGCAGCTTTGAGGCGCTGTAGGTTCGTTGCTTTTATAAATAGAATTTCGCTTGAAGTATTCTGGGACATATATGAGCATTTTGGCAATTTGTTGCTTACACCAACTGAGCAGATAATCCTCATCATCATCATCATCATCATCATCATCATTATTATTCAACCAACGATTCATTCATTCATGATGATGATGTTCGCGATGATGATAATGAAGAACATTCCAGCCAACATGAAATGCCATGTGAAAGTAAACACAAGAACATCTGCGCCTCTCTCGCTCAGCTTTCAGCTAACGCTTTCTCTCTCGCACTCTTAACGCCTTTGCCATCGTCATCGTCGTCGTCGACGTCGGCGGCGGCGGCGGCGGCGTCGTCGTTGGCTGCTCTTTGCCACACAATAAAAATCAATAAAATCTGGGCCAACAGTTTTAAAGGTTGATTTAAAAGGTATGACGACGCCATTTTGACTCAACTCTGAACAGTTTATATATATAGTCACACAAACACACACACACACACACACAGACACACGGACACGTACGCATCGTGTGTACATATCCGCATATAAATAAACAATAATAAACCGCCAGCCAGCATCCGGATGTTGCCTACCCAAAAGGGGTTTATTAATTAGGAGAATCTGTCAACTCTCTGCTTGCGCTATGCCAAGATTTGACTGCATCTTGTGTATGCGAATATCAACAATGTTCATGTGCATAAATAAAAGTGAAAATTGAGCTTATTCAAGTTCATACGAAGCACACTCATGCACACATACATATATGCATATGCATATATACCACATGCGGTGCATCGCACTTATACACACATACACATGCGATTTCAGCAAGTGCTTTTGAGGGTACATTTAACGGTTGAATGGCAGGCAGCCTGTATAGAGTTGTAAAAGGAAAGATATTTGCTTGGGCATGCCA